GTCAAAGATAGCAACTCCAGTCCTAAGCAGCTCTGCCCAGCGGGGGCGCTCGGTCTCGTCACCAAACTCTGCGCGCCAAGCGTCGTCGAGGCGGGAGAAGCAGCGCTGCTGAGTGTGAAGCTTCCCGCATGTCTTACTAGCACGGTCACCCGTGCGAATGACATACGGGCAATGAACACTACCCCCGGACGCCCCACGCTGAGCAAACCACTCACGAAGCTGCTGGGGCAACGGGGTCTCGCTCCGACGCTGCTGCTGCTGCCTCTGGCCTCCTCCAGAACCTCCACGCTGAGCTCCAGTCCAACCGCCACCACTCCCACCGCTGCCACTACCGCCACTCCCACCGCTGCCTCCACCGCCAACACCAAAGCCCCCACTCCCGCCACCACTCCCACCGCTGCCACCACCTCCACTGCCTCCACCACCTCCACTGCTGCCCCCACCACCACCCCCGCTGCCACCGCCACCACCCCTGCCACCCTTGCCCTTGCTGCTGCGGCGCTTCGCACTAGCAGAAGCAGCCCCGACGTCCTTAGCACCAGGGACGTCAGAAGCAGCGGCAGAGGCGTAGGATGGAGCAAGGGGGGAGGGGGAGCACCCCTCAAAGAAGGGCGTGCGCGGAGTACCACGAACAGCACCTACAGCGACTACTCTAGTCTTAGCTGCAAGGAGGTCAACAGTGAGGGCTGTGGGGTCAAGTGCGAGAAAGTGGTCCCCGACAGCGCGAAGAGAGTCAGGGAGGCGGGTGACGATGAAGTAAAGAGTGATGTACATCGAGGGTGGGTTCTTGGCAAGGAACTCTGCTGGGAGGGCAACGCGGTAGCGAGCGTCGCTAGTGCGAAGGTGGGAAACCAGATCCTCTACCGTGGCAAAAGCGGACAGCTCGGGAAACAGGTAGGGCAGCAGAAGATGGCCTACAGCAGCAGTGGCAGGCGAGGAGTAATGGGCGACTACAGCGTCGTATAGCGCCTGTGCTGTCCTATGCTGTCCGAAGTGAGCGCATTCGGCTAACGGTAGGTGGTTGCGAATGGCTAAGCGAGCAGCAGCGTCACGAGCAAGCCACTGTGAGCGAGTCGCACTGTCAGCTGTGGCGGTAGGGGCGGGAGCGGCGCCAGACGTGTGGTCAAACAACGAAACACTGTCCCTAGAGTCGCTCAGTAGGTACAGCTGCAAGTCGTCGTGCCAAGTGTCAAAGGCAGCGCAGGGAAAAAGGGGGGGGGACAGGCAGCAGGCTGCAGGAGGGGCGGCTGGAGGGCCTAGGGGCGGCCGCGGGGCGACGTGTTGGGGCCAGGGGCGACGGGCCGGGGCCTAGGGGCGAAGGGTCGGGGCCTAGGGGCGATGGGCCGCGGGGCGAGGGGCTAGGGGCGACGGGCCGCGGGGCCGGGAGCGACGGGCCGGGGGCCTAGGGGCGACGGGCCACGAGGCAAGTGGCTAGGGGCGATGGGCCGCTGGGCCAGGAGCGACGGGCCGCGGGGCCGGGAGCAACGGGCCGGGGGCCTAGGGGCGATGGGCCGGGGGGGGGGGGGTGGGGCGAGCGGCGACGGGCCGCTAGGCCAGGAGCGACGGGCCGCGGGTCCGGGAGCGACGGGCCGGGGGCCTAGGGGCGACGGGCCGCGGGGCCTAGGGGCGATGGGCCACGGGGCCTAGGAGCGACGGGCCGCGGGGCCGAGAGCGACGGGCCAGGGGCCTAGGGGCGACGGGTCGCGGGGCCTACGGGCAACTGGCCGCGGGGCCAGGAGCGACAGGTCGGGGGCCTAGGGGCGACGGGACGCGGGGCAAGGGGCGACGGGCCAGGGGCCTAGGGGCGACGGGCCGCGGGGCCTAGGGGCTACGGGCGACGGGCCGCGGGGCCTAGGGGCGATGGGCCGCGGGGCCTAGGGGCGACGGGCCGCGGGGCCTAGGGGCGACGGGCCACGGGGCCAGGAGCGACGGGCCGGGGCCTAGGTTAGGGGCGACGGGCCACGGGGCCAGGGGCGACGGGCTACGGGCCGGGCCTAGGGGGGGGGCGACGAGCGACGGGCCACGGGGCCAGGGGCGACGGGTCAAGTCCACACGAGGGCGGCGCGCGGAGTAGCAGGGGCGGCATGAGGGTCGCTAGCAGGGCAGCTCAGTGGTGGGCCCAAAAAAAAAAAAAAAAACTTCGGTCCTAACGGAGGACCTGCTCTGAAACCATGTTAGAACTAACGAACAAGAATGAATGAACTATGAAAGAGTTGGGTACAAGTTCTAACCCTAATTGGGTTGTACCCCTTATGGGCTACCCCACTATAGCTTACACAAATGTAAGCACTATAACATTCTGACACGTCCCTCTGCTGACTCAACCAACGTCTGAAACGTCCACCCAAACATCCCCACATCTCAACAATCAAAGGTGTGAACTGCACCCCCCGATTGCTCGCTAGCAACGGCGCGTAATCGTTCGCCTTCCGTTGCTCCCATTCCTTGGCCGCCACGCCCACAGACCGCCCGCACTGCCCGACCAAAGATGGTGAGAGCGACAAGGGGTATGCAACACTGATCTCCAAGGCGTGCGCCTCTCAGTCCATCGGTCGACGCACTGCAACATCCACACGCTTTCACGGCAACAACATGTCATCCTCCATCGTCACCACCCCCCCGGATGCTTTGGAAATCTTTGCCACCGCAAACTTCACCTCATCGTGCACCCGAGAGGGACCGTGCTAGTACTTGCATCGCAGTGCATGGTGCGGGTCCGCCGGGTCCGCGTACAGCGTGCCGCATACACAACACCCTGCCACGTGCAGCTGCTGGATCGGAAGGCCCAGACGCACAGCTGCAGCAATGCTCCACTCAGCAGCTGTGAAGGTGAAATCCGCATGAGCTGGGACAGCGGAGACCCATGCACCAGCCCCCGGGCCCTGAAGGGATGTGAAACGGGCCAGGGTGGCATCGTCACGGGCCAATCGGCGCACAGCCTGAAGTTCCTCCACGGCCAACTGCCGCAGCCGCGCCTGGAAGAGACGAACGGGGGGGCCAGCGACGCAGATAGGCAGGCTCGGCATCTCCCGGCGTACAGCCTCTGGCAGTTGCTCGAGGCTCTTGGAGAACCAGGGGCCACATTCCTGAGATAGTCCGCAAACATCGCCTCTTCACCTGCTACCCCCAACTGCGCAATGTCACGCGCAACCTGCGCCCACCCACAAGCGTAAGACAGCAGACTCAAGGAAGTCGCTACTCAAGGGGAGCCACGGTAAGGGCGTCTGCAGCTGCCGAAGCCACTCCCGCAAACGAGTCACCTCCCAGTCCTCCGTTCCAATGGGGACCCCCACCACTGTGAGTCCCTCCCACCCGCTGCATGCCCAAAGGCATCTCCTGTACCATGTCAGAGGCCTCCCGTACCCAGAATCGGCACTTGGGGGCCTGCACCTCCAACCCCACCCCTTGCAGCCATTCCCGTAACACGCCAAACGCCTCCAGAAGCCTTGCCGTCGGGCCCAAAATGTAGGTATCATCCGCATAGCTCAGGAAAAGCAAATCGGCAAACTCTCTACTGACCGGCTCCATGACCAGTTGCTGCGTGAATGCAAAGAGGAAAGGCTCGAGCGGGTCCCCTTGCCGGGATCCTCGTGCTGAAGCAAGAGTTTCTACAAACGGGCCTGCCCGGAGATAAAGATCGCTAGGTGTCCCGTAAAAGATGCCCAAGAATGGGATGAGACCCAAAAAGGGGGACTCCCGCAGCCCATCAAACATCGTCCGTCGGTGGAAGGAGTTGAATGCGTTCGCAACATCTATCTGCAGCGTGCACCAATCTGTGTGAGTAGTCAGAGCCGAGCGAAAGGCGTGTGTCGAAATCTCCATTCCTGCGCTGGTGCCAACGCCCAGCTGGTGACACGGCTGAAAGTGGGGGGCCATCGCTGGTCTGAGTGTAATGCAGGGTGCTCGTGCAAGGATGCGCGGAAGGACCTCTCCAATGGCCACCGGCCTGACATCGCCGTTGGGCTTAGACAACCCAACTAGGTTAGAAGCAGCAAGCCAGGGCCGTGCCCACTGGGGAACCTGCCCTGCAGCCCATTGGTTGAATACCTCGAGAAGATGAACCAGGCTGGTCGGTTATGTGAGGAATGTGTCCCGCAAGTGCTCCATAAGCCACCCTAACGGCCCTGCAGCGGAAGCGCGAGCAGCTGTGTGAATAGCCCTAGCCAGTATGTCGACCGTGAGCACTAGTCGCTGAGGAGCGTCGATGTCCAAGGTACAGACCCACTCCAGTATTTCGCCAACGCTGGTGGGATGCTTCCCCCGCAATGACTGCACCATAGCCTCAGACGGCCGAGCCAACTCCCCTGCCATGAGGCATACCAACCCACGACTCCACTCCCCCAGTTTGCACCTAGTTCGACAACGAGCAAGGCGGATGGCGTCAGGGTCTTGGTCGGAGGAAGTATATGTTAAGGGACGAACTGCCGGGCGTGCTGCAAGCATGGCAGAGTCGAACAGCTCACGCCATCTCCCCTCTCAGAAAGCCGTCAAACGCTCCATAATCAATGCCCTCTGACCCATCCCCGGTTTGGTCGGCAGGCCTAGGCGGAGGCGTGGGAAGGCCAAGAGAAAGAGTGTGGCAGCTTCATCCTTGGGTCGGCTCTTCAGTCGTTTCAAAACACAGCACAGTGCATCGAGGACCCCCAGCTGGGCACGTTGAGGAATCTGACGCACCGTCTTCCCCCCTACCGCCTCCATGCAGAAGAATGCTTCCCAATCCCATGACGGAACCGCCGCCCATACCGCGTTATGGATTTCCCTCACTGTCGGTCTCTCCTGTGTGCCATCTTCTGCGAGGGAAGGAATTAAGCCAAGCGCATATGCACGCCTCTCCGCCTCAGCCGCTCGACACACTGTCATGTGGCTCACAGCCGCCCCTCAAGTAGCAAATGTGTGAAAGCACACGTCGCATGGGTAGCGGGGAAGCGGAGGAGGCAGCTCATGGTGTCCCTCATCCGATGCCACTGCCACCTCTACTGCCGCCATGGGGGTGTCGAACATCACCAACTGCCGTGGGGATTCGGTACCCTGCTCACACCTCCTCCTTGCCACTGCACGACCTGGTCTGCTGCGGCCACCCCTGGCTGCCCTCCCAGCTGCTGCATATCATAGTCCCCTACTATCACCCCCGGCAACCCTCCTCGCTGCTGCGCACCCTGGGGTGCTACCATCCCCCCCGGTTGGCCCCCCGGGTGTTGCACGTCCCTGTTGTCGCCCCTGACCGCCCCCTCGTCTGCCACCTGCCCCTGGGTGTTGCTACCTCCCCCGGCTGCCCCCTTTGCACGCCGCAGGGTGGAGCAGTGACCCCCGGCTGCCACCCTGGCTGCTGCGCAGCCTGAGGTGATGTGACCTCTCCCTGCCACCCCAGCGTCTGCTGCCCGCCATGGGATGCAGTGCCCGCCCCCAGCTGTCCCCCCGACTGATGAACGTCCTGGGGTGCTGCTGTCACCCCCAACTGAACTCCTAGCCGTTGTGAGGCCTGTGGTGCTGATATCATCCCCACCTGCCCCCTTGGATGATGCACGCGCTGGGGTGATCCTGGCACTCCCGGCTGCCCCCCTGCCTGCTGCACGTCCTGGGGTATTGCTATCACCCCCGGCTGCCCCCCTGCCTGCTGCACACACTGGGGTGCTGCTAGTACCCCCGGTCGTCCCCCTGTCTGCTGCACGCCCTGGGATGCTGCTATCACCCCCGGCCCTCCCCCTGGCCGCTGCACGCCCTGGGGTGTTGCTATCACCCCCGACTGTCCCGCTGCCTGCTGCACGCCCTGGGGTGCTGCTATCACCCCCGGCTGCCCCCCTGATTGCCGCGCGCCCTGTGGCACGCCTACCCCTCCTGGCTGTTCCCCAGGCTGCTGCCCGCTTTGGAGTGCCGCTCTCACCCCCTGCTGTCCCACTGGATGCAAGGCTCCCTCAGGTGGTGCTGCCCCCCCCCAGCTGCCCCTCCGTCTGCCGCTCGCTCTGGGGTCCTGTGATCAACCCCCGCTGCCCCCCAGCCTGCTGCACAGCCTGGGGTGTTGCAGTCACCCCCGGCTGTCCCTCCGCCTGCTGCACGCCCAGCCGATTGCCTGGCCTCTGCCTACCCTGGCCTCCACATCGCCTCCTGCCCTTGCCTCATGGCAGTTGTTCATGGAAGGGCCCCTGCGCCTGTGCATCCGGATGACCCTGCCGCTGGCCTTTCTGACCAGTTTCCCCCACCTGCTGCCCATCATTTTGCCCTGTCAGCAGCTCCCCAGGAGGACTAGCAGGATCCTGTCGGTGTTCCTCTCCATGACCTAGAATCCGCGCTACAGGCACCACATCCGACGCCACATCCTGCCGCTCCCCTCGAAGCGGGCTTATTTCACCCATGACTTCATCTCCCGGTGTCTCAGCCACCCAGGTGCTCAACTGCTGCCCCTGCTGCATCCCCGGGTGTCGCCCCCACTGCTCCCCATGCTTCTGCCCCCGCTGCACCCCTAAACGCAGCTCCTGTTGAGCCCCCAACTGCAGGTCCTGCTGGTCCCCCAACTGCAGGTCCTGCTGCTCCCCCAACTGCAGGTCCTGCTGGTCCCCTAACTGGAGGTCCTGTTGCTCCCCTGGCTGCGGTTCCTGCTGCTTCCCTGGCTGCTCCTGCTGCCATGAAGGCAACATGTCCTGCTGATGTCACTGTTGCTGCCCTTGGAGGGCCTCCACCATGATGTCGTCCCCCCTGGCCTCAAGAGAGTTGCGACTTGAGTGGGCAGCCACCAGCCGAGCAGCTTCCCGTTGAAATGTTTGCGAGCAGCCCCCCGGCTCCACAACAGGGGCTAGGACCTCGCCACCTGGGTGATGCTCCCCCTGCTCCACACGCCTGCCCTGTTGTCTTTCAACACACTGCTTCCGCAAAGCACTTGGCTGCCGCCCCTGCCGGCTGTCCTGCTGACGTTGCTCGTGCTGGACTCCTGAGTGCTGCTCGCACTGACCCCTAGATTGCTGCTCCTGCTGGCTCGCGATGCGACCTCGTTGAGTAGTCCCACTGCGGCCACGACCCCGACCAGGACCGCGATGGTACACACCTCCTTGCACAGTAGTCGCCGGCTGCAGACACTGCACGCTCCGAAAGAGAAAGGCCTGTTCCTCAGTTCCGAACTGTCCCCCTAGCGATGTCCCTGGTCGTGTCCTTGGGAAAGGATTTAGGCTGCTCATCTCCCCTGCCTCAAGCTCTTCAGCCACCGACAGGCCATGCTGCGTCCCTGACAGCACTTGTGGTTGCTCCCCCACTGGCCTCCCTCTCTGTCCCGCTCGCTCCCACGGCTCCTTCACAAACAGCCCCCCTTGGACGTCTGTCGGCAGGCCCAGCTGCCCCTCCGCCAGACGGCTCGGCTGCCTCGTCAGCACCTTTTCCGGCAGGCCTGCATTCGTCACCCCCTGCTGTCCACCTGCCCCACATTCCCGGCCCTCATCCGCCAGCAGGCCCCCCTGCACCTCCTGCCTCCCCGCTGTCGGCTCCCCTTGTTCTCCCGTCGGCCACTCTTGCCAACCGCCTGTGCCAGCTACCAATAAACGCCTGAGCTCCTGTCGTCGTGCCAAGCGCGGTCCAAGTGGAGCCCTGCAAGGAACCATTGAAGCTCCAAGAGTGCCGGGTGACTCTGTTGCCGTGGCACCAAGTGGAAGCTCGTGTCGTCGTCTATTATGCAGCTCCTGCAAGTGCCGGCGTTGAGCCTCCCACGCCGCCACAGCCCTGTCCATCCTCGGATTGCCTGGTTCTTGCCCACGCCCATCTAACCCTCGGGTGTCTTGTGCATCCACCAGCGCAGAGGTTGCGTGTGGGCAATTGGGTGATGCGTGCTGGTCTACCGAGGACGTGTGTGGGGTAACAGCAGCCTCTCGCTGCTCACTAACCATGAGTGGCGCCTCAGCCAAAGGAGGCTGAGCAGCTCCATTACTAAGCCGCTGCGAAGTTCCTGAGAGCGGCGGTACACCGAGTATGTCGCTCGTGCTCATGGGGGCGGCTGGTGCCTCGCGGTGTCTTTTGCATGGTGTCCCCTCCGAGCAAAGTCAGTCTACCGGGCTCAGGCGCCGGAGACCGAGGAGGAGTGGCTACGAGGGGCCTACCCAAGGCCTTTTGAGAGTGTTTGCTTGGGGCTGCGCTACATACTCCCGAGCGCTAGTACCTGAGTGCCTGTCTGGGTCATCAAGAGCTTCCGCCTCGCCCTACGGTGCCTGCGGAGGTGTGTGCTCGTGCTGCGGGTCAGCCATGCCGAGGATCCTGTAGCGTCCGTCTAGATCCGTGCTCTTCATTTCCAGGTCCTAGCAACAAGGAAGCCCGGTATGCCCGTGTGGCGGGGTAGCGAGAAACCGAACGCTGCTAAACTTGCTTCAAGCGGGGGAAGCCTGGTTGTGCGCGTGGTAACGAGGGAACGTACACTGCAGGTCCTGCTCCTAACGAGGGAAACCAGCTGCACGCACGGCTACACGAAGACGCCCGCTGCAGTTCGTGCTCCTAACGTGAGTCATGGCGTCAGGTGCGAAAGCTACAACCGTCCACTTGGGTCCCTGCTCCTAGCGAAAATCGCAGCTATGGGGTGAAACCGTCACTTCACGACGCGCTCGTACCTGGAATCGCAGCTGAGGGCAGGATAGCGTGAAGCAGTTGCTGCGCTAACCTGTTGCTCGCGGGGTTCGCCGTGGCCGTGGGCGTGAAGCTTACGTTTCGCGACCTAGTGCTAGCTGAATTCGCAACTGGGGCAAGGTGTCGTGTGGTGTACGCTATGTGACCTGCTGCTATTGAGATACGGCTAGGGGCGCGGTGACGTGTGGCGCACGTTTTGTGACCTGGTGCTAGCAAGTTTCACGGCTGGGGGCGTGGTGACGTGTGGCGTACGTTTCGCGACCTGGTGCTAGCAAGTTTCCTCCTTGGAACACGATTACGCAAGTTTCCTCATTGTTAACGCTAATCGACGAAGGTGATAAGGGATCTAGGTTCCAGCCGTTGAATACGTTGATTAGTATCTACTTACGTTCCCCGCGCCCCACGCCACGCACGCGGCTTGGCTGTCAAAAGCGGTTATACACCAGAAAACGGATTTGAATCCAACTATTCCGGGGTCGCAAACGATCACGGTATTCAATTAAAAAATAAATAATATCAGCCATAAATTCATAGTTAACGAAATTTATTTTTTCAAGCACGTCATCACAATTTTTGAATCGTTAGGTCATATGCATCACACATTCAATGTAGATCACGTCCCATATTCGTCAAATGTCACAGCATCAGTCTACTTCTTAGCGAGAAAGGCCAAACCCCTCACGCTCCCATCCACCATTTGGGATTTTCTTTCAACAGATAGCTGATCAGGTGGCCCCCTTGCCATTCACCAAGCATCCAGCCAGGGCGAAGCGGCTTTCAAGAGCAGCTTAGAAAATACAAGTCGCTTATTCTTGATACGCGGAAGCCGACACGGCTGCGTGCCGAACTCGAATCCTGACACGGGAACTGGTTGAACCGCCGTACGCTGTTGTGAAGCAATCTAGGACGTTCATGCCCTTCGAATCAAACCGTTCAGGCAGTCGTGAAACACTCTAGCCGTTTCACACTGTCCTGAACCATCCGATCTGTTTCGGCTGCCTTGAAGCAATTCAAGCCGTTGAATCTGTCGCGAAGCGATCTGAGCCGGTTACGCTGCTTTAAACCGATTAACAGGCGATCGACGATGCCAAAGGACAATAAGAATCGCGAGAACCGGTTTCGCGGGACGGCGGGAATGCGTCCCGTGTCAGAGTCCACGCGAATTTCCGTCACCGCCAGGCTCGAAGAGTTCCGCGACGGCACCGATCCAGGTGGGGAATCCAACATTTCGTTGCAGGCATTGCTCGACCAAGGCTTATATCCTCCGGCGCGAAGGCGAGGAAGCGCTGGGTGGATCACGCGCATCACTGGCTTTGTCAGATTCAAGCGATTTTCGTTACGGAAGCAAACCAGGTAAATCTGGCTACTACGAACGAATTCGAATGTTGCTTTCGAATTCGAGACTGATTCGAGCGATTTCTACCTTGTTCCTCGCTCCTCTTTCCCTTGCTCTCCCTCTTTTTCTCGCCTATCCCCGAAACCTCTCCTCTCTGTCTTCCTTTTCTCCAGGGATGACTTCGAGGCGGATCTGAGCAATCATGACAGGGCTGTGGTGCACCACGTAGATTTGAGGGTCCTCCAGTGTAGCTTGCTCCTCACCAATTCTCTCTCTCTCCTCCTCTTTGAGCAAATCATGACAGGGCTGTGGTGCACCACCTAAATCTGAGAGTCCTCAATTGTAGATTGCCTCTGGTGAACCCTCTCGCATTCCCCCTCCCTCCCTCTCTCCCTCCCCTTCCCAGAGATGACGTTTGAGGCGGATTTGAGCAACCACGACAGGGCTGTGGTGCATGAGCTGTGTCGTAAGGTCCTCCAAGTGCTCCTCGCGTCCCCCCAACCCGCTATCCCTCCCTCCCCTCCCCTCTGTCTGTCCTGTTCCCAGAGATGACGTTTGAGGCGGATCTGAGCAACCATGACAGGGCTGTGGTGCACGAGCTGTGCCGGAAGATGGGCTTTGTCTCTAGAAGCCACGGGTATGTGTTTATACTTGCCCCTGTTTTGCAGGGTGTTTTTTGAAATTTCTCAAAAACACCCTGCATGGCCGTGGGTCATGAGCTGTGCTGAAAGATGGGCTTCGTGTGGCTTCGTCTCTAGTAGCCACGAGTATGTGTGTTTTTTACGGGGATGCAGATGTATATAAGTAGGTATACTCATGTATATGCCTTCATGTATACAAATGTATATTCATATGTATATGTATGAATATGTATGAATATCTGTTCAGTTATGCGAAGACTTTAAAAAGTACTTTATGCAATTCGTTTTTTCCATGTACAGCAACGCGCTCATTCCGCTCACTTGCAATGCACAGTTTTCCTTTCAGTTATGTACACCATCTCAACCGTGCTCCCTGTTTTTGAGACGTCTCAAAAATCTTTCTCAGTTATGTACACCTTCTAAACCGTGTTACCTCCGTTTCTCGTTCACCCCTCTTTTCCCCCCAAAGAACGATCTAACCATGTCTACCGAACCTCCCGACATATATGCCACCACCAAACCTTGCGGCATGTGCTCCTCGTTCAATCCCGCTTTCCTATCCCTCTCAGGAAACAAACCAACCGTCGACTGACAGTCTACCGAACCTCCCGACATAAGCTCACCAGAGGACCAGGTTCGGACTCCACCGGGCCTGAAGCGGATTCCCTCCCGAGCCTGACTCTCTCGTCAGAATCCGAAGCTGCTGTGCTGGCGCTGCTGCTGGCCCACCCTCCGACGGAGCTGGAGATGACGTCAGCAATGCAGGCAGGGGGGTATTTGGCGGACGCTGCTGCAGGAGTGGGACGGGCGCAGGGGAAAGGGGGGGCTGGGGGGGGGAAAGGGGCGCCTGGCGGGGGGAAAGGCGGAGGTGGTAATGGGGATGAGGAGGAGGAGAAAGTGACTGGGGCTATGGCGCGACTGGGGGTGGGGGAGGGGGTAGAGGGAACGGATGGGGGGAAGGTGATGGAGATGGAGAAGGGGAAGGGTAAGGAGAAGGGGAAGGGGAAGGATGAGGAGGGGGGAAGAAGGGACCCTTGGGTGCAGGCGCAGGTGAAGGCTCTAACAGACAGGCTGGCGAGCATGGCATCACTCAAAGCGGTGAGAGTGTAGCTCAGAGGTTCTTGAGATTCTAGGATGGGGGGGGGTTGGGGGTGTTGGGAGAGGGGACCCTTGGGTGGGTGCAGGAGCAGATGAAGGCAGTGGCGGACAGGCTGGCGAGCATGGCATCACTCAAAGCGGTGAGAGGGGAGGTGGTGAGGGTGATGTGAAAGCAGTGCACTTGAAACCGGTGAGATTGAAAGCGGTGAGATTGAAAGCGGTGAGATTAAAAGCGGTGAGATTGAAAGCGGTGAGATTAAAAGCGGTGAGATTGAAAGCGGTGAGAGCATCACCTGGTGGTGCTGATACCTCCAAGTGACACGATATTGCCCCCCCTGCCTGCCCTCCCCTCATCCGTCCCTCTCAGATCACACAGAAGCGGCAGTCACTACCCATCATGGCGTATCGGGAGGAGATCACGCGGGCGATAGAGCGGCACCAAGTGGTGCTGATAGTGGGGGAGACGGGGTGTGGCAAGACGACGCAGGTGCCTCAGTTTATTCTGGACCACGAGTGGGGGAAGGGCAGGCGCTGCCGCGTGATGTGCACCCAACCCAGACGGATTTCCGCCACCTCTGGTGGGTGGTGGTAGCGACTCTGTCTGGTAATTCGCCCTCGGGGATTCGCTCGCTGTAAGGAGTGAATCAGAACATGCGGAGTCGGTGTGCTGGAAGCAGGAAGTGTGGGGTGATTCTGGTGGTGAGAGTGAGTTCCTTGCCTCCCTCTTGCGCTCCCTACTACTCACTTTAACACCTTCTCCTCTCCCCCCTTTCCTGCATTCCCCGTTCTCCCCGCGTTCCCCCCATTTTTTAGTGGCGGAGAGGATAGCAGCGGAGAGAGGGGAAAAGATCGGGCAAACAGTGGGGTATCAGATCCGGCTAGAGTCAAAAGGGAATCGCTCCTCGTCTCTCTGGCTCTGCACCAATGGCGTGCTGCTGCGCCGCCTTGTGGGGCTGGGGGCACACTTGCACAGCAGGGAAGGGGGAAGGAGCGCGCAGGGCGGAGGAGGGGGAGGCGGAGGCGGAATGGGGAGTGGGGAGGGCGGGGGGGGAAGTATTGTGGAGCCGGGGGTTAGAGAGGCGATAGCTGCTGCTGTGAAGGGGATGGCAGAAGCTGTGGATGGGGATGGGGATGGGGATGGGGAGGAGGGGGAAGGAGTGGGGGGTGCAGAGGGGGAGGAGAAGGGGGGAGTGGGCAGGGAGGTGGATGCAGATGTTTTGGCGAAGCTGGATGCGACTCACATCATTGTGGTGAGTGCTGCTGCTCGCACGAGGCATGGTGAGTGCATGGAGTTCCCTGAGTTAGGTGCTGCCATGGCTTTAACTGTTGTGGCAGTGACTGGTGTTGGGAAACGAGAAGGGGGGAGTGGGCGGGGAGGGGGATGCAGATGTGCTGGCGAAGCTAGATGCGACTCACATCATCGTGGTGAGTGCTGCTGCTACGAGGCATGGCATGGCACGGCATGGCATGGCACGGCATGGCATGGCATGGGATGGCATGGCATAGCATGCAGATGTGTTGGCGAAGCTGGATGCGACTCATATCATTGTGGTGAGCGATTGCTGCTGCTATGAGGCATGGCATGGCATGGCATGGAGATGTGTTAGCGAAGATGGATGCGACTCACATCATCGTGGTGAGTGCATGGGGTTCCCAGTTAGGTGCTGCCATGGCTTTGACTGTTGTGGCAGTGACTGGTGTTGGGAAACGAGAAGGGGGGAGTGGGCGGGGAGGGGGATGCAGATGTGCTGGCGAAGCTAGATGCGACTCACATCATCGTGGTGAGTGCTGCTGCTACGAGGCATGGCATGGGATGGCATGGCATGGCATGGCATGGGATGGCATGGCATAGCATGCAGATCTGCTGGCGAAGGATGCGTCTCATATCATTGTGGTGAGTTAGTGCTGCTGCTATGAGGCATGGCACAGGATGGCACGGCATGGCATGGAGATGTGTTGGCGAAGCTGGATGCGACTCACATCATTGTGGTGAGTGCGTGCGTGCTGCTGCTTTTAAGTCGACTCAAGAACAGGCATATCATTGTGGTGAGTGGTGCTACTGCTATGAGGCATGGCATGGGATGGCATGGCGTTCAGCTCTTTCTCACTCTCCCACTATCTTCTCGCCCATGCTGCCACCCCCCCCTCTCTCCCCTCCTCCACTCACCAGGACGAGGTGCATGAGCGGGATAAATTCGCAGACTTCATGCTCATCATTCTTAGGGACCTGCTGCGCCTGCATCCCACTCTCAAGCTGGTCAGTTTTGTTGCCTCGCCTGCTAGAGGGATAGTTAAGAGTTTGTCTCTCTCAGACGATCTCTCACAGTGCACTGGCTTCGTGCTCATCATTCTCAGGGACCTGCTGCGCCTGCACCCCACCCTCAAGCTGGGCAGTCACCAAATGCTCTCACTTCCTTGCCAGAGAGATCTGGGAATTCCCGAAAGCTGCTCACTCTCACTTCATGCTCATCATTCTCAGGGATCTGCTGCGCCTGCACCCCACACTGAAGCTGGTCATTCCCCTCCCCTTGCCTCACCTCCTTGAGGGATTGTTCAGAGTTTGTCTCCCAGACGATCTCTCGCAAGGCAATGACTTCATACGAGTATGCAATGTCCCCATGCAATCCTCCACAGGGATCTGCTGCGCCTGCACCCCACTCTGCAGGGAGTTTTTGAGAAATCTAAAAAACGCCCCACTCTCAAGCGGGTCACTTCTATCACCTCCTTTTCCCAGATGTTTGAGCATTCTCAAAACCCTCTCATTCTCACTCTCATCCTCACCATTCATCTTGTAAGGCGCCTCAGATGTTGTTGAATAAGACATCACAGAACTTAATCGTTCACAGGACATGACTGTTCTCCCATGCGAGATATCACAGAACTTATTTTTTTATGCTATTCAGTTACCCTTCCTGTCGAGATTTATTATTTCCTTCTTGAGACGTCTCAAAAGTCGACTGATTATCAATCACGTGCTGCCAATTGCCTTGACTGTTCTTCTCCAGGTTCTAATGAGTGCAACCCTAGATGCTGGGCTGTTTGCAAACTATTTTGGGGGCTGCCCGGTCATCAACGTTCCTGGCTTCACATATCCGGTCAGTTTTTTTTTTTTTTTTTGGTCCTTTTTTTGTGTGTTTTTTGTTTGTTAACCAATTTCCTCTTCTTTTCTTTGTGCGTGTACTGGTAAAGAGAACAACAAACAACAAACAATCTATGCTGGTTTTTGGTAGCCCATTATTTCCCCACCCTCTTGTGTTGAATTGGTACTGACATTACATATTAGGTCGAAATGTATCACATTAGCTTGATCCTTACCTTGATCTTCTGTATCGTATCACAAACCATTTTGCAGTAATTACTGCTTTGCAGGTGCGAGCGTGCACTGTACAGGAGATGCAGGAGAGTATTCTCAGCGTCACAAATTACTAACAATTTTCCTGGCGGATGTTTTTAGGTTCCTCATAAATCGTCTTTCGGCCTGCAATATTTAAACATCAATGATACGTTTAATGCTTGGCAGGTGCGTTCTCTGTACCTGGAAGATATCCTTCGCATCACAAATTACGGCAACAATTTCGCTGGTGGGGCCTTCAATAAAGGAGCACTGCAAGCTATGGATATTGAAAGGGAAGCAGCAGCACAAGCCGATGTGCACGTGGGAGGAGGGGGTGAGGGAGAGGGAGAGGGAGAAGGGGAGGAGCAAGGAGAGGAAGAGGTGGAGGAAGGGGAGGTGGGGGAAGACGAGGAGGAGGAAGGGGAGGAATCAGGCGGGGAGGAGGGAGAGGGGGAGGGCAAGGAGGGGGGAAAGGAAACAGCAGGGGTGAAGGCGGGGGAGGAGGAGGAGGAGGATGAGGTGGAGGAAGGGGAGGTGATAGGTCTAACGGCAAAGGACGCAGCAGCCATGGATGAGGCGATAAGACTTGCTTGGATGGCGGATGATTTCGATGATTTAATGGAGCTAGTGGTATCAGGGCATGAAGAGGCGAAGCTGCAGGGAATGATGAGTAGAATGATGATGGCAGCAGCACAGAGCAGCGGTGACAGCGGTGGTGACGGTGGTGGTGGTGATGGTGATGGTGGTGGGGGGGTGGGAGGAGAGAAGGGAAGGATGTTGAGACGAATTTTGAGGCGGAAACGGAAGGAGAGTCAGCTGCAGGAGATGTTTGGAGGGGAGGAGGTGAAGCAAAAGGGGGGGAAGCGAAGGAGGAGAAGGAAAGGGAGAGGTGACGGTGGTGGTGGTGGTGGGCGTGGTGGGCGTGGTGTGAGGATAAACATTTGTGACTATGCGCATTCGGAAACAGGGGCTACTCCCTTGATGGTCGCTGCTGGTAAGTGGTGTGCTGAGCCATCTCTGCTTTCCATTACACAGCTGCAATGCACATTGGGAATCAACACATATGTGAGTATGCACATTCGGAGACGGGGGCTACTCCCTTGATGGTTGCTGCTGGTGACTGCGTGTGTGCTGAGCCTCGCCGCCTCCTCCTCTTACCCTTCCCCATCCCTCCCTTTTGTGTGATCGGCCATCGGGCAAATGATGAATTGTGGAGGTGAACATTCTGCAAGAGGTGAACATTCTGCAAGAGAAGAAACGTTCTGCCGTTTGCGGAGGTGAACATTCTGCCGTCGCTGAAAACGTTTGTGGTCCCAACTAGTTATCTCTCCTCGTCCCCCCACCCCTTACCCGCACCCTGGCAACCCCTGAGGCAAGAGAAGAAACGTTTGTGGTCCCAACTAGTTATCTCTCCTCGTCCCCCCACCCCTTACCCGCGCCCTGGCAACCCCTGAGGCAAGAGAAGAAACGTTTGTGGTCCCAACTAGTTATCTCTCCTCGTCCCCCCACCCCTTACCCGCACCCTGGCAACCCCTGAGGCAAGAGAAGAAACGTTTGTGGTCCCAACTAATTATCTCTCCTCGTCCCCCCACCCCTTACCCGCACCCTGGCAACCCCTGAGGCAAGAGAAGAAACGTTTGTGGTCCCAACTAGTTATCTCTCCTCGTCCCCCCACCCCTTACCCGCACCCTGGCAACCCCTGAGGCAAGAGAAGAAACGTTTGTGGTCCCAACTAGTTATCTCTCCTCGTCCCCCCACCCCTTACCCGCACCCTGGCAACCCCTGAGGCAAGAGAAGAATGGAAGGTGTGAACATGCTGTTGTCTCTATGAATCATTGTCTTAACTCAACTCCTCTTTTCTCCCGCATTCCCCCCATATGTAACGACCAACAGGCAAGGGAAGAGCAGAGGAGGTGGAGATGCTGCTATCGCTGGGTGCCGATGTGACTCTCACTTCCGATGAGGGCAGCACGGCCCTTGACTGGGCGCGCATGTACGCCCATGAAGCAGTGCGCCGGATTCTTGAGAGATGCTTTCTCGCTCTCACCTCCTCCTCCTCTCCTCCTCTCACCCTTAGCCTCCCCTCCTCTCCTCTCTTCCCCCTCGCCCCCTCCCCCTTCAATCGCCAACAGGCAAGGGAAGAGCAGATGAGGTGGAGATGCTGCTACCGCTGGGTGCCGATGTGACTCTCACGTCAGACGAGGGCAGCACGGCGCTTGACTGGGCGCGCATGTACGGCCATGAAGCAGTGTGCCGGATTCTTGAGAGACACATGGAGGCTCGGAGGCTATATGAGGCTGTATGCCGGCTGCTTGAGAAACACTTCTCCTCTCCCCCCATCCCTCAATCTTACTCCCCTTGAACGACCAACAGGCAAGGGAAGAACGGAGGAGGTGGAAATGCTGTTATCCCTGGGAGCAGATGTGACTCTCACATCAGATGAGGGCAGCACGGCGCTTGACTGGGCTCGCATGTATGGCCATGATGCTGTGTGCCGGATTCTTGAGAGACACATGGAGGTGTTGGGTTTGGGAGTGCTGGAGGAGGGAGAGGAGATTGAGGAGGGGGAGGAAGGGGAGGAGAGGGGAATGGATGAGGGGGAGGGAATGCAGGAAGAGAAGGACAAGAGGCAGGGAGAGGTATCCAAGCCCGACGCGACAACTGATGCCGTTGCTGCTGCTGCTGCTGCTGCTGCTGCTGCTGCTGCTGCTGCTGCTGCTGCTGCTATGGCTGTGCCTTTGAGTGCAGAAGCAGCGAGGCTGGCAGCACAGGAGCAAGTGGCGCTCTCCTTATACCAAGCCTCTGTGGATCATGATGAGGTGGATCTGGCCCTCATCCACCTCCTGCTGACTAGGATCTGTGTCAGCGCAGCAGAGCGGTCGGCAGCACTCACGAGCAGCAGTGCCTTTGCTTCCAAAAAATCCCAACAGATGCTGAAACAGGGTGAAGAGAAGGAGGGAGAGGAGGAAGAGGAGGACGAGCTTCTATCTCTCATCCCGGCTTACAGCAAGGAAGGCAGGGAGGGCGAAGGAGCAGGGGGAGCAGGGGGAACAGCAGCAGGGGACGGGGGAGCAGGTCTGAACGGGCCTGACTGCGCAATCCTCGTGTTTCTCCCGGGGTGGGAGGAAATCTCCCGACTGAGAGACCGGCTGCTGGGGTCCTCAGTCTTTGGAGACCCGACGCGGTTCCTGATACTGCCGCTGCACTCGAAGATTCCGATGCCGGATCAGCGGAAGGTGTTTGAACGGCCGGGGCGGGGCGTGAGGAAGATTGTGCTCACGACGAACATCGCGGAGACGGCGCTGACGATCGATGATATTGTGTTTGTGGTTGATTCCGGAAGGTTGAAGGAGAAGAGCTACGACGCGCACACCAACGTGTCTACCCTGCAGGTGGGTGGGTGGAGAGGATGGGGGGTGAGAGAGTGGGCAGACAGTGTGTTGTGTTTAGGGTGGACTCGGGGAGGTTGAAGGAGAAGAGCTACGATGCACACACCAACGTATCTACCCTGCAGGTGAGTGGGGGCGTTGAAAAATAACACCTCCCCCCCCTCTCAGCGCTGATTATTGACGATTGATGATATTGTGTTTGTGGTGGACTCTGGAAGGTTGAAGGAGAAGAGCTACGACGCACACACAAACGTGTCTACTCTGCAGGTGGGTATAAGGAAGGGGAGGGGTGTGTGTGCTGACGATTGACGATATTGTGTTTGTGGTGGACTCGGGGCGGTTGAAGGAGAAGAGTTTTCGACGCGCACACCAACGTGTCTACCCTGCAGGTAGGTGGAAGGGGGCCAGGGAAAAGGGGTGGTTGGTGGTTTGATGGACGGTTAGCAGTTTTTCAGGTGCCTCAAAATGCTGCTGGGGAGGGGCGTGCGGAAGATGGGGCTGCAGCTGTTGAAGCGCCCCTCAAAGGCTGGGGCGGGGGGTGAGGAAGATTGTGGTTACAACGAATATCGCCGATGCGGGGCTGACGAGTGCACGCTCTCCCTTCCCTCACTCTATCTCCCTTCCCCTCAGGTCTGTTGGGTCTCCAAGGCCATTGCGCGCGAGTGCCAGGGCAGAGCAAGGCGGTGCAAACCAGAGGTGTGCTTCCACCTCTTTTCACACCCATAACCCTCTCCTCTCTCTTCCTTCTAACGCCCCCTCGCCCCCGCAGGTCTGTTGGGTGTCCAAAGCTAGTGCGCGCCAGCGGCAGGGAAGGGCAGGGCGGTGCAGGCCGGGGGTGTGCTTCCATCTCTTTTCACGCACGCGAGCTGGGTCTCTGCCGGAATTTCAGGCGCCGGAAATCAAACGCACGCCCCTGGAAGAGCTTTGCTTGCAGGTACAGTGTGTGGTGTTGTTTAGTACAGTTGTGCAGTGGGCTGGGTTGCTTGTATTATTGCGGCGATTCCTTGCCCGATTCTCTGCGCACTCCTGTAAGACATCGTCGCTCTGGACCTACTCTACCCTCTCTCGCTCATGACCCTCTCTCGCTCACGACCCTCTCTCGCTCACGACCCTCTCTCGCTCACGACCCTCTCTCGCTCACGACCCTCTCTCGCTCACGACCCTCACTCACCCTCTTGTGGCCTTATTGTCAGAAGACCTGCATTGGGGATGCCTGATTGATCCTAGAGAGGATTACAGGCTCGTTAGCTTCGAAGGTTATGGGTGCACTGACCCGCTACTTAATAAGTCATTTTATCATAGTGGTCTAGTGGCTGGGATTCTGACATGGTATCAGAGCAAAGATCCCGGGTTCTAATCCCCATGTCGCACATGCTGGCGTTGTCGTTTGTGTCTTAGGGCATTCTTGTGAAGGGGGTGTTAGAAGACCTGCACTGGGGATGCACGATTGATCCTGGGGAATGGTTTCAGGCTTGCTAGCCGAGGTTATGGGCGCATTCATCTGCCACTTATTGTGTTATTTTATTTCAATGGTCTAGTGGTTGGGATTCTGTCACTCACATAGTCTAGCCTGGGCTTGTCTGAGCTCCCAGCGACTCCCAAAATGCTCCCTCACTCCATCTGCTCCTTTCTTTCTCCTCACTCCTCCCTTCCTCCTCCTTCCCTCCCTCCCTTCCCTCCATCAGATCAAGATTCTCGACCCTTCACTGGATATCCCTCTCTTTCTCTCAAAAGCCCTCGAGCCGCCCGTCCCCGCCGCAATAACCAACGCCGTCGCTCTCCTGCAAGACATCGGCGCCTTAGACCCCCACCAATCACTTACCCCCCTCGGCGCCCACCTCGGCGCCCTCCCCCTCCACCCAGTCACCTCCAAAATGCTCCTCCACTCGATTCTCCTGGATTGCCTCGGCCCGGCTCTTACTGTTGCTGCTGCCAGCACGTATCGTGACCCTTTCCAGATGCCTATAGGGTTGGATCAGAAGCTAAAGGCGATTGCTGCAAGACATGCGTTGGGGAATTCGATGGGCGGGTATGGGGATCATTTGGCGTTGATTGCCGCGTTTGATGGGTGGGCTCAGGCGAGGACGAGAGGGGGGGCTCGGGCCGCGGATGCGTTTTCCCGGGGGAATTTCTTGTCGCCAGGTGGGATGAATATGATCTCTGGGCTGCGGAAGCAGCTGCGAGGAGAGCTGCTGCGGAAAGGGTTTCTAGGGAGTGTGCGTGGGGGGAGAGGAGGGGGGTGGGGAGGAGGGAGAGGGAGGGGAGGAGGAGGCAGAGGAGGAGGAGGAGGAGGTTGGGATGTGAATGTGGATTTGGATTGTGAGTGTAATGCGAATGGGAGGAACCAAGGAGTGGTGAGGGCGGTGCTAGCAGTGGGTTTGTACCCTTTTGTAGCTAGTCTCGTACCGAAAACACCAACTGGGAAGCAGCCGGCAGTGGTAGTGACGGCCCGAGGCGAGAAGGTTCGGATCCATCCGCACTCGGTCAACTGCCGAGCCTTGCACCGAGGCGCGGAGGCAGGTTCGGGATCGGCTGGCGGCGCTGGGGAGAGCGGTGGTTCGGAGAGCATTGAGGAATCATCTCGGCCGTTGATTGTGTTTGATGAGATCGTGAGGGGCGAGGGGAACCAGACGATCAGATCGTGTACTGTTGTTCGTCCCCTCTCTCTCATCCTGATTGCGTCTGAGATGGTAGTGGCTCCCCTAGGGCCTGCGAAGGCTGGGGGAGAGGAGGACGAGAACGGGGAGAAAGGAGAAGAGGAGGGAGAAGGGAATGGAGAAGGGGAGGGAGAAGGGGAGGGAGAAGGTAAGGCAGAGGAGAGTGGTTCAGGGGTGGAGGTGCGGAAGCGGAAGAGACGGCAACGGGTGCGGCGGGAAGCGGGGCAGGAGAGAACACAGTTAGGCCAGGGAGAAGCAGGAGCAGTGGGGGAAGGAAGCGGACCAGCTAACATGGATTTAGGAAAGGGAGAGAAGGAGGGGGGTGAGGGCGACGGGCGGAAGGAGGGAGAGGAGGAGGAGGAGGTGGTGGAGGAAGAGGAGTATGTTTCAGGTGCGGAAGATGAGGAGGGAGAGGAGGAGGAGGGGCCAGTGGTGAGGCCGAACCCCAAGAGTGCGAGGGAAAGGAGGAGGAAGTTGCAGGAGGAGGTTATGAGCGATCCTGGCCGTGAGATCGTGATCGTGATCGATCGATGGCTGAGATTCCGCGCCACGGCCATGCTGGCGGCTCAGCTGTTCTGCCTGAGGGAGAGGCTGGCTGCATGTTTTGCCACCAAGGTGAGTGCTGGGATGAGCCGGTGGGTGCGGGGATGAGCAGGTGGGTGCGGGGATGAGCCGGTGGGTGCGGGGATGAGCTGCCTCCATATATTAATTGACTTCTGCTTTTGTCATTACACACGTCTACTTTCCCTGATTATTATTTTTCGTTCCCTCACTCCCCTCGTATTCTCTCTCATGCCCTCTCATTCTCGTTCCCTCTCACACCCGTGCACTCTCACTCTCTCTCGCTCTCTCCCTCCTCAGGTCCATGATCCCAGGAAACCGCTCCCTCCCCTCCAAGCACTGACACTGTACACGATCGCCTCCCTCCTCTCATTCGAAAACTACATGCTTCCGCCTCCAGCCAGCGAATCAGCACCCTCTGGTGAGAAATCAGCTCCTGCCGGACCTCGCAAGGGTGCCCTCTTGCCTGGGCCTCAGGGCCCTGTCTTTGGTTCGGGGTTTGGTGGCAGGTTCGGAAGGGGTAGTGGTTGGCGAGGAGGGGGGGGAGTGGGAAGGGGTGGTGTGGGGTTTGGTTCAAGGGGTAGAGGTAGGAGTGGTTTAGGGTTTGGTCGAGGTGGTGGACGAATGGGAGGGGGGATCAACAATGGGTTTTAGGGAAGTGGCGTGTCAATTAGTGTATGTTGCGAACGGGACATGCAAACTATTTCAATGCAGATTGAATATCATGTCATGAGCTGATGTCACATGATAGTTAGAGTGTGCCTGAATTGTTAGGGCATTTTTTTAAGCATCTGGTTGTAACTATGTTTTGGTCATGGTCTGTTGACCCTTCTCGACATGCGTTACGAGTGCAATTGAGCGAGCGAGCGAGAATTGCACTATCGAAGCAAAACAATACAATGAGCGAAGGCATGTGCGAAGAAAATATTGCGAACTAGAGTGGTAACCGTAACGCGAGGAATTGGGGTGCGCTACGGGCCTAGCGCCGAGGTTGGGATGTGTCGAGGCGGAGGTCCAGAGCGCGGGTTACCAACCGGACCGTGAGGTTGAGTCGCATCGTGAACAGTGGCGGGAGTCCAGGCCTCCAGATTCGGGTTGGGCAGTCTGATTTGTCAGAGTAAGTACACATTTTTAGTCTGATCAATCAGGCTTGGTACAAAAAAAAAGGCTGAAATTTCAGAGTTCAAGAGGAAAAAAGTCTGATATACCAGAGTTCACATCGGTAGTGAAGTTGGTTGATCAGCTTAAAACGAGGTGATAACGGCGCTACAACACTGCTGTCACTGTTTCAGCGAGACTGACTGGACAAAGTTGTGTCGAAACAACTGAACGAGAATGGATGAATTGAACATAAAGTTGGGTACGAGTACTACCCATAATTGGGTTGTACACCTTGTGGGCTACCCCACTACAGCCTACACAATATAAGCACTAAATAAGTTTGACACACACCCATAGGCAAAGTGGGGGAGAACAAGTGGTCACAGAACCAGTCAAGAATGTCAGAATGTTATGTTTGTCGAGCCTGCAGTGGGGTACTCAATAGTGAGTACAGCCCAATCTAGGGTTTGCTATATGTACTCAACTGCTTGCTAGTGCAACCCCTCTTTTCTCGTTTCTAACTTTCTACTACTGTTCTTAACATGGAATCAGAGCAGGTCGACCCTCACGGGTCGATCCTGTGCATGGGCCCACCAAGACTTCCGCTGTCATCACTGCCTATCGCGCGCCTCGGGCGCGCGCTGCCTTTCTGCTTGCCGCGCGTTTGTCGCGCGCGGCAATTTTTCTTCCCGCCGCGCGCCCTGGGCGCGCGGCGGTTGTCTGCCCGTCGCGCCGCCCTGGGGGCAGCGCGACGCCCTGATCTGCCCGTCGTGCGCCCCGTGGCGCGCGACGGTGCTCTGCCCGTCGCGCGCCCCGGGGCGCACGGCGGTTTCGTCGCCCGGGGGGGGCTCGTGCGCGGCCCCCTCGTCGCCCGTCGCGGCGCCAACCGGGGCCAGCGCGGCCCCCATTCCCGTCGCCTGTCGAGGCGCGCGGGGGGGGGGGGGGCGCGCGACAGAAGGGGGCCGCGCGTCGGCCCCTCCCGTCTTCGTCGCGGCCCTGCCCGGCCCTGCTATGCCCGGCCCTGCCGTCCGTCCCCGGCCCTGTCCCGGCCCTGCCCTGCCCGGCCCTGCCCCCGTCTTCGTCGCGGCCCTACCCTGTGTTGGGGTTTGGGGGTGGCGAGTATGGGGGTGAAAGCTGGGTGGTGGGTGTGTGGCATCCCCTGCTCCTCCTCCTACTCCGTCTCCCACTGCTGCAGCTGCCGCTGAGGGGGGTGGGTGTGTGTGAGTCGACGGAGTGGTGCTAGGGGGTGGAGTGTGAGTGAACCTAGGGGTGCAGCAGGGGGTGTGTGAAAAGGGGGTGCGACAGTGGGGGAGGTTGAAGGGAAGTAGCCGTCGTGTTGCCAGCAGTGCCAGTAGTCCGGAGGTGCGCTTCCGGTAGCCCAGTGATGCTGCTGCGCCAGTCGCCCGTGGGTCCGTTGCTCCTGCCGCTCGTCTTAGCCGCGGAGCCAGTTACTCCTGTAGTCCGGAGGTGCGCTTCCGGTAGCCACAGTGCGCGCCGCTCCTGTTGCCCGTGTGTCTGCAGCTTCAGCCGTTGCCTCCTCTCTCCTTCCCTATCAGTCCAGCTCCTCCTCCTCACTTGCCCTCTGTGATAGCCTCTAGCTTTGCTTATTGCTGTGAACTATAAACTGTTGCTTCTTGTACTTTTGCTCAGAATGTGTGGTGACATTGTGATCCACCCTGAGCTTGTTTTTGCTTGCTTGTTGTGCTGATTACACCCCACTTTGGCTAGGGGGGTTGTGTCAGAATGTTATGTTTGTCTAGCCTGCAGTGGGGTACTCAATAGTGAGTACAGCCCAATCTAGGGTTTGCTATATGTACTCAACTGCTTGCTAGTGCAACCCCTCTTTTCTCGTTTCTAACTTTCTACTACTGTTCTTAACAAAGAAAAGCAAAGCAAGCTCAGGGTGGATCACGAAGTCACCACGCATTTTGAGCACAAGCAAATGGCCACAAGGCCAGTTCACATGCAGAGTTATATAAAAGAGAACAAACAGTACAGTGATCATACCATAGCAAGTGTAAGCATGCATGCATATATATAGATCACAGTACAAGCAAAGTCACATAGTGAGCAAGTGAGGCAAAGTAGGCACAAGGCCTAAAACAGTACAGAAACGCTGATGATCACCAGACTGAAGTGCCTTTGTGAATATATCAGCAGTGTTGGCCCGAGTGGCCACGTAAGCAAGACGAAGTTGACCACGCTGCTGCAGCTCTCGAGCAAGGAAGTAACGCAGAGCGATGTGTTTTGTTATGTGCTCCAGTCCGTGTTCCTAACACAAGGCAATCATGGCATTGTTGTCTACGTACAGAACTGGAGAAGAACGAGGCCGCTCTCCCAAGTCGGTCAGCAGGTAGGTGAGCCAGCGTAACTCCTGTGCAGCCATGGCCCCTGCGTAGATCTCAGCCTCACAACTGGAACTGAGAACAGAAGACGAGCGGGTAGACCGCCAAAAAACAGAGCCGGAGCCAAGGCAGAAGGTGTAACCCTGTGACGACCGCTGCGTAGCCAAGTCGTCAACCCAAGAAGCGTCTGCGTGTCCAGTGAAGACAACTGGACCCCGTCCTCCAAGCACGAGCCCCATGCCCGAAGTACAGCACAAATAACGCAACACCCTCTTAGCGGCCTCCCGGTGCTCTTGTCGGTGTCTCCCGGGCGCAACGTAGCGTGCCAGGATACTAAAAGGGTAGGCAAGGTCGGGTCGAGTGCATGTCATCGGGTACATGAGGCAGCCCACAAGCTCTAGATACGAGCCACTCAGCTCTACGGACTCGTCCGAAGGTGGAGCTGAGAGCGAGTGACCGGTTAGCAGAGGAGTGGACTGTGGCGAGGAGTACCGGAAGCCGAAGCGCTGAAGGACCTGGTGCACCATGTGTGACTGAGTCAGGGTGATGGTGCGCCGTGCTCTTCCCGGGTGATCTTCAAGCCAAGATAGCTGCGCAGCTCACCCAGGTCAGTGCAGGTGTGTCTCTTTTGCAGCTATGACTTCACAAGGGCCAGTTCCTCAGTGTCAGCAGTGGCAAAGACCAAGTCGTCGACGTACATGAGGACGTAGAACGGCGGCAGCGAAGTGTCGGTGCGCAGAAATAGCGACGGGTCAGCACTTGAAGGAGCAAACCCAAGAGCCGCAAGTGTCGTCCTCAGTGTGTCGTGCCACTTGCGAGGCGCCTGGCGAAGACCGTAGACTGGCCGCCGGAGGCTCCACTGGGTACCTGCAGGAAACGACCCAGTGAAACCAGGTGGGCAGCGCAGCCAGATCTCCTCGTGCAGACTGCCCTGTAAGAAAGCTGTGCTGAAGTCAAGAGAGGGAAGCTCGTAGTCACGCTGAGCGGCGACGTGCAGCAGAACCCAAAGAGTGGTCATCTCTAGGCTAAGGGAAAAGTTCTGGAAGAAGTCAACTCCCTGTGGCTGACTGAAGCCTCGTGCAACGTAACGAGCCTTGAAAACACGTGGAGAACCCGGCGGCCGCTTCACCTTGAAAATCCACATGCCATCGACTATGTTCGCCCCAGAAGGGGGAACTGCGTCGGCGTAGGTGCTTGTGGACTTCCAGGATGCCATGTCTGCCACTGAGAGGAGTAGGGACACGTAATCGCCTCTGTGTAAGAGCGCGGGGTCGGGATGTCTAGTGCATCCGGGTCTCCCTCATGTGCAAGCAGCATGGCCACGAGATGAGATTTCCAAAGCATCCGGGGGGGGTCGTGACGATGGAGGATGACATGTTGTTGCCGGGAAAGCATGTGGATGTTGCAGTGCGTCGACCGATGGACGGAGAGGCACACGCCTTGGAGATCAGTGTTGCATACCCCTTGTCTGTCAAGAGAATGAACGAGAATGAATGAACTAGCAAAGAGTTGGGTACAAGTACTAACCCGAATTGGGTTGTACCCCTTATGAGCTACCCCACTATAGCCTACACAAAGTAAGCAATATAATGTTCTGACACACCCCCATAGGCAAAGTGGGGTAGAACAAGTGGTCACAAGACCAGTCAAGAAAAGCAAAGCAAGCTCAGGGTGGATCACAAAGTCACCACACTGTCCGAGCACAAGCAAAGAGCCACAAGGCCAGTTCACATGCAGAGTTATAAAAAGAGAACAAACAATACAGTGATCATACCCTAGCAAGTGCAAGCATTAAGGTATATGTAAAGATCACAGTACAAGCAGAGTCAAGCAGTGAGCAAGTGAGGCAAAGTAGGCACAAGGCCTAACATAGTAGAGAAGCGCTGATGATCACCAGGCGGAAGTGCCTTGGTGAATATCTCAGTAGTGTTGGCCCTAGAGGCCACGTACGCAAGACGAAGCTGGCCACGCTGCTGCAACTCTCGAGCAAGGAAGTATCGCAGAGCGATGTGCTTCGTTCTGTGCTCCAGTCTGTGCTCCTGACACAAGGCAATCATGGCCTTGTTGTCTACCTACAGAACTGGAGCAAGTGGCCAGTAGATAGAGGAGTGGGCAGTGGCGAGGAGAACTGGAAGCCAAAGCGCTGAAGGACCTG